AAAGCTAATGCAAGCTTTTTACTGCTTTTTTTTTTTTTTTTTTAAAGTGAACTTGTATTCAGCAAATTTACTTTTTGTGCTATAGGTAACATTTGGAAATGTGATATGTGCCTAGGCCCTAGGCAGTAGCCTCAAAAATCAACTTTTTTTTTCTCTGTAAATGCTCATGAAAAAGGGGATTACATTCCTGGTTTGTGAGTGTGTCTACAGCCTCATAGCTGTACCTTAGCAGTGTGAGATCTAAGGCACTGCTGCCTCTGACTGCTGGTCTTTTTACTGATTAATGCCCAGTTGAAGCTTTCTTATATAATACTGCAATGCAGTCCGTAAAGCATATATGAGTCTTGTTTTTTCCCCCAATGTACTAGTGTGCTGCAGCCTTTGTTATATTCCCTGTTCTGGGAGCATGCTGGAAATCCGGATCACTACTGAACCCAGCTGTCCATCACTCCCCCTGCACAGTGCTCCAACAGCGTTGTTTATTGGAGCACTGCGCAGGGGGTGTGTTTGGCTGTTTGGGATTTGGACCGCTGTATTTTCTAGATCTGTACCAAAGACTACATTAAAGTAATAAGAAGGAGGCTTTCAACTGGGCTTTAAATTATGGGTGTGTTTACTGATAACTTAAACTGTCTACTACTTTCTCAGTCTGTTCAAACTTTTTTTTAAAATGTTGTGGCTGAAGTTTTACTTGAAGTGAATGTGATGCTATGTTGTCTAACTAATTGCTCAGTTAGAAGAAGAATTGTACTTTTGGTAAAGTTACCCTATATAGCTCACTACCCCCTCCAGCAACTCCTCCACCTTACCTCTTCCCGCTACTCCAACATCTTTGCTCTGGGGCATCCTGGGCCCCATACAGCCTCCTCTTCAAAAGCCTCCCAGCTGAGCGCTGTTATTCTACATATTTGCACCATGATCTCTATTCATTCCTGTGGACTGACAATCTTTCATTGGTCCCAATGGTGGGCAATTTTTCCATTGGAATATCTGGAGATTACAGTGCCCACGCACATAAAAGCACAGCAAGGCTGGAAGTTATAAAGAGAAGACTGTGCTGTGCTTAGCACCCCCCATAACAAGGAGCAGAGACAGATATGCAAAAGACCGTTTGGGGTTACTGGAAGAGGAAGGAGGACCTATTAAGGATAACTGTGCTAAAAGTACATTTATAATTTCATGGACTCTTCTGAAAATCTGTCTGTCTTAAGTATTCTCCTTTGGAACAACATGAGAGCTAGGCAACTAGCATTTTTCAAAGGAGATTTTAGCAATGGCAGCCCCATTTTTTACTCAGCATACATTTCCTATTTTTTGTAGTTGTGAAGTCATACAGATAGCAACAAGCAGGAGAATAGACTAATCTGTATATGTTAACCAATAATGGCACAGCAAGCTTGTAAAATGTGAATATTAAAGCCAAATTGACTTTTTATCAATGTAATAATAACTCAAAATACTGTATAGGCTTATTGTAAATGTGCTAGAGCTTCCTCTTAAAATAAGCCCACCCACCATATGTGATGTTACCAAATCATACAGGAAGAATAAGCTGGCACTGTAACTGTAGCTGAACTTTGCAATAAACAATTTGCAATGATAAAGAACAACATGCAGGGTTACAAAATGTGTAAGGAACTGGGTATCCATCATATATGTTTGATGTATGCAAATTATATGGATCAGTTTAAAGTGTATCTTTTAGTAACTTTATTGCTGTCTTAATGTGTATAGCAACAGTTTTTGTTGTACAAAATCTGGTCCTTTTATTCCTTGAGCTCCAGGTAAGTGACTTTTGTGGCATGGGTGGTGTCATCAATTTGCTGCAGGCAAGAGGAAGCATTTCCACAGTCTCTTCTCTCCCAGTGATTGGACCGCAATATTGTAATTTTATAGCAAGTCACTAGATGAGAAGCTGAAGCGGGGGATATTTTTTGGCAGACATTTGTAAACAGGACCGGGTGCTTTTATGTGGAGAGGGGGCACTAGGAGCTTGCACTGCCATCACTCTTCTCATTCAAACAGCTGGAGAACAGAGCTTAGAACAGAGGCCATTATAGCTGCTGAAGGGAGGATACTGCTCTCTCCTCCCTCCAATAGCAGACTAATGTGGGTGGAAGAAAGTAGGCACATAGGGGTGCCCTCTGAAAGCAGACCTTTTTTCCCGTGTGGACGCCCACTGAGAACAGATCTTTTTTCTCAGTACACCCGCTGGGGAGTGAAAGCAGACTGCCCTTCTATCTCCCCTTGTCATGGGACATATAACATGACCAGAGAGGGGAAGAAGTTAATGCTGCCTTCTTTTTTTCCTTACAGTGACACCAGTGATGCAGGGGCATGTTTTCTTTCCAGTGGCACCACTGATGCAGGGGCGTTTTTTTCCTTCCAGTGACACAACTGACACAGGGGCATTTTTTTCCTTCCAGTGACACAACTGACACGGGCATTTATTCCTTCCAGTGACACCACTGATGCAGGGGCATTTTTTTCTTCCATTGATACCACCGACACAGGGACAATTTTTAGTTCCAGTGACACCACCAACGCAGGAGCAATTTTTCCTTCTAGTTGCACTACTAACACAGGACTTTTTTCTACCTTCCAGCGAAAACCATCAACGCAAAGACATTTTCATTGACACCACTGACACAGGGACATTTTTTCCTTCTAGTGACACCACCAATGCAGGGTAATTTCCTGCAAACAAAAATGGAGGAAGGCTCTTGGCCTCATTTCAGATGACACTTGGGATGATGATATACTGCAACCTGTTCCAAATATATCCCTGGCCTCCTTCTCACAGACTGACACAGCTTTTTATTTTACATCGGGTGTACCACACCCCCGATGTCACGATCTGGGATCAGGCTCGGAGTCCAGTGCCTGAAACAACAGGCAAATTTGTGGTGAAACAGGCCGGGTTCGGTACACAAGCAGACGGTAGTAGTATAGGAGCAGGCAGAAGCGTAGTCAGAGATCAAGCCGAGGTCAGTAGCCAAAGTATCAGGTATGGAGCGGAAGATGATGAGAGTAGTTGGTGAATCAGCAGCTAAAGGTCGGTACACAGGTAGCAGTATGAGCGGATTGTATCACAGAAGGAGCAGGAAACAAGATATTGGCAGGAGCACAATGATCTGGCAAACAGGAAGAGCAGAGGCATGGCTTAAATAGAAAGTTCAAGGGAGGAGCAGGGAGTTCAGAGTTCAGCAGAAACTAGGTTTAATTGAGGATTACACAGAAGTTCAGGCAAGGTGCTATCCAAGGTTCTAAGGTGACTCAGCAGGTAGAACCACTCAGCAGCATCAGGGTTCAGATTCGGTTCTTCACACCTGAGTTCCTTGGGGGGTTATTCACAAAGCTGCCGAAGGCTGAGTGAATAACCCAGCCGAAGAAAAGTAAGCTGAACTACATTCGGCTATTCACTTCTGGCTTGTACAGCTGATTTCAGCTGCACTTTGGTCACTTCAAGCAGAAGGACTTCAACTCAGCCAATCCAACATCTGGATCAGCTGAGTCAAAGCTCCGGCAGCTCACTCGCTGCCGTTTGCCCCTATCCTGATAGGGGCCGAATGGCAGGGAGTGAATAGCTGAATGCCACTGAGCGGCGCTTTGCTATTCTGCTCAGTACCTCCGTGGTACCGAGCAGAATAGAAAATCAATGAAAAAAGTTTAAAAAAAAAGATTTTTAAAATGTAAATAAATAGTTAAATACAAAAAATAAATAAAACATTTTTAAAAAAGGAAAAAAAACAATTGGGCGGAGCTATCAGTAACAGCTGGACAGCTAGCTCCGCCCAACTGTTTCCTATTGGTCGGCACCTACTAGAGTCTTCTAGCAGGTCCTGGCCAATGAATAACATCTGGGCGCAGGCAGCCGTGACATCATGGCCGGCTCCGTCCAGTTGTTATTGTTTAATGACAGTTCAGGGTCCGCAGGTCATTTGGGGATGCTGATCTGTCATTACAACTGTGCGGAGCCAGCTGTGTGATCACGGCTGGCTACACCCAGCTGTCATTTGCGGGGCAAAAGGCCGACCTTCAGCAGGCTGTTCACCCCGCTTCGGCTGACACTTCGGCTCAGTTGAGCTGAAGCAAATGCCTTCGGCTCGGCTGAGCCGCTCAGCTATGAATAGCCTGTACAGAAGCCCTTCTGTTCGACTGAACTGAAGGGCAGAGGCGGCCAAAGAGAGCCGAAGGATCAGCCGAAGCTTTGGCTGGATCCTTCGGCTCCTTTGTGAATATGTGAAATGACCCCCTTGGTCTTCACCCTATCTCATGTTGCAGCAAGTGGTGTCAGCCCCATAGTAATTTGATACACCTGTTATGGTTGTGCCCTAAGCACAAAAGATACTGAACAGAGGCTATTAATAGGGTCATGGACACCTCTTTGAGTGCTGACCCATTTGCATGCTGGGATATTATGACTTTTCATACCTAGAGTATACAGCCCTGGTGGTTGCCAGATTATTATTTACTGCTTGCAGAATGTTGGCTTTATAATTAGTTTCCACTACCCCTCCCTCTACGAAGGAATCATTATGAGAATTAAACAGATTCATTACACTCAAGAACCACACTTATTTTCTTCAGAGTTCTGTGTGTAAATTTGGCCGCATTTAGTCTTGCTGGTTGAGTGTGATGGTTCATTCTTCCTTACTTTTGATGTACCATATACATTCCAAACATGATTGACTGCTTGCCTTGTGTGGCTGGTTAATGTTTGTTTTGGAGCTCTATGTGACATGTTATTCTACTGTTCTACTGTTCTACTGTGTGCACTTATTGGACACGTTGTGTCTTTGTATTATTTAGAGAACTCTTTCAAAACATAAACTCTGCTTAGATTTTTTGAGAGATTTTCCTGGCAAAATCTATTTTGACAGATCTCTTGATGGAAAAAAAGGCAAAAATAGACAGACATAAATATACAAACATTATTATGCAGCTATCCTTACTGATTGCTCTCACTTTTATGAGCTTTTGCAGAAGGTTTTGCATCTTTACATACCAATACTTTTATACATTATTTTCTTAAGTCCCCCTTTTACTTCCTGATTTCGTAAACTATATATTAGAGGATTTAACAGAGGGGTTACCACGCTATAGAGCAGAGACAATATTTTGTCATTATTAGGATTATCACTGGTCTTCACTCGTACATACGTAAAAGCACCTGTTCCAAAGAACAAAGTAACTGAGGCAAAGTGAGAGGCACAGGTTGAGAAAACCTTTTTCCTCCCTGCATTAGTGCTGATACGCAGAATGGCAGCAATAATTCGGCCATAAGAATAAAGCACTAGAGAAAAAGGTAGTGGCAGTACTAAAAAGCCAGTGACAGAAACTGAAATCTCATTAGCTCTAACATCAGTGCAAGCCAGCTTCAGCAATGGGGGTATGTCACAGAAAAAATGGTTGATGAGGTTGGGACCACAATAGGGTAAAGAAAAGATGGAAGCAGTCTGACCAAAGGAAATAAGATTGCCAGATACCCAAGAAACCATAGCCATTTTTAGGCATGTAGTTTTGTTCATAATTGAAAAGTATCTCAGGGGATTGCAGATGGCCACAAAGCGATCATATGCCATGACAGCTAGGAGGAAACACTCAGTGACACCAAGGGTGAAAAAGCAATACATCTGTACACAGCAACCATAGAAGGGGATTGTCTTCTTCTTGGCCACAAATGTTTGTAGCAGCTTGGGGAGGGTAACAGATATGTAGCATATTTCAAGAAAAGAGAGGTTACGTAGGAAATAATACATTGGGGTATGTAGTAAAGAGTCAAAAGTGGCCACAATGATGATAGTAAGGTTGCCAAGTAATGTGAATACATAGATTAGGAGAAAAAGGGGAAAGAGGAACAGCTGAAGCTTCACATTGACATTGCTGAATCCCAACAGGATAAACTCTTCAATATGGGAGCTGTTTGCTGGTATCTTGTCATCTGTGGCTGTCATCTAGATATATGATAAAGACAGATTAACTTTTCCGTTTGCAAAAACACAAATGATACTAAATGTTGTTTTTATTACTGCCCGTGAAAACATTGGGGAGATTTTTTACAAACTTTGGTCGGCAGGACTGTAAATGAGGGGAATAGCTCCAACAGGTACATAACAATGAAAGCATTTTTTAGTAAAGCTGGTAAGAGTTAGAAGCTATTTTAGTTGTTTTTATTCTTGTCTGTGTGCCAAGCATATTGCACATAACACTCATCACATAACTCGTATATCAATGTATTTTCTCTCCAATGAAGCTCCTCCCAGTTCCCCTGCCCTGCTCCCCTCTCCATTCTACACTATCTGCAATGTGTTTTGGTCCCTGGCTGATACACTGTATTAGGCCCCTTTCCCTTGGGTGCCATCTGTTTTGATCATCTGGGAAACTGCGCACACATCCCCCGCTGATTTGAGCACTATGGAACCAATGTCACTCTTGTGACATCCGTGTCCATTCAGTTTTTTTTCCAGATTGAGATGGAGACTCAATCTCAGGACTGATTGGACAAAATAAATCCTTTGGAAGGTAAAATTGTTCATATATGTATGTATATATTTATTGTAATGTTGGGGAGCTCACAGAGCACTCACACAGCGTTTTTCCATTAACAAAGTCTTTATTTTTCTTTCCAAAAGGTAGACAATCAAGAAGTCCAACACAAAATAGCTTGCTGCAGCATATAACAGATACGGCTCACCAATCCTCGAGTTGTCTCTCACACTCAGTGTCCCAGTCCTGTAACACTTTTCTCTTGCAGCACTGCTGATCCGGCCTCAATCCTTAGGGCCACTGTCTGTTACCTCCAGACAACTCTCAGCAACGTACCAACCTGCCCCATAGGTTTCACACACCCGCAGCTCCCTGCTGCGCTGGCCTCCACTGACTCCTGGGTGGAGTTCTCCTGACTCACAGGTGGGGCCCTGAACACATCCCAGCACACTTTTCATGACGGATGCACACAGGTGAACAATCAGGTGCTGGTCACTACTAACCCACGGACCCAGGACTGGAGATTTCGTCACACCCAGAGCTCTAAGAAATCTTCTGGCTCCAGGATCCCAACTAGGATCCAGAAAACCTGGAAAGGACAGAAAAGGCAGTTCTTTCCTGGTACAAGTAATTTCTTCCTGGAGCCACTCATCCCCTCTGGCTGAGAACCATGGGTGACTTTGAGGCCACCTAACACCGTGGTATTGCCTCGCAATGCCACGATATATAAATACAGTAAAAGTATTTGTCTAATTGCCTGTTTACCTGAAGGACAGCTTTAATTCCTTCATGCATCTACTACCTAACTAAAAAGGGTCATAGTAATATGGGATTTATTTAGCCTTTTTAAATGACAACACAATGAGTTAATGGGTAATACAAGGTTCTGAATTTAATATCTCTTCCCATGTACTATAAATAAAGTGAGGAAACAGGATGTACACCTGATATTAGCAGACCATCTAATAATAGCATCAGGAAAACATAGTTATATGACTGGAGAGCTATGGGACACTGTGTACAATGAAACCACGTCCATGCACTCAGATGAACTCCACACTATCATCACACTATTCTGAGGGTGAGGGGGGTATTATTTAGGTACCACTCTACTGGCAAATATATTTGAAGTCAGTTTTAGTAAATACATGCTATGTGCATGTTTTTCCTCTCACAATCCAAAAACACACTGATCGGTTAATTGGCTAGTTCCCAAATTGGCCCCGTGTGTGTAAAAGGGGTAGAGACATTGTGAGTCTCTCCAGGGATAGGGACTGATATGAATCATTATTAGTATGTAAAGCACTTGGTTCTATATAAATAATACAAATATAAATAAATTATTATATTTACATATTATTATTTCATATGCAGACCATCTAATAATAGCATCAGGAAAACATAGTTATATGACTGGAGAGCTATGGGACACTGTGTACAATGAAACCACGTCCATGCACTCAGATGAACTCCACACTATCATCACACTATTCTGAGGGTGAGGGGGGTATTATTTAGGTACCACTCTACTGGCAAATATATTTGAAGTCAGTTTTAGTAAATACATGCTATGTGCATGTTTTTCCTCTCACAATCCAAAAACACACTGATCGGTTAATTGGCTAGTTCCCAAATTGGCCCCGTGTGTGTAAAAGGGGTAGAGACATTGTGAGTCTCTCCAGGGATAGGGACTGATATGAATCATTATTAGTATGTAAAGCACTTGGTTCTATATAAATAATACAAATATAAATAAATTATTATATTTACATATTATTATTTCATAAAATCTTTAACATATAGATGTAATTTCAAAAGTAATTTGCAGTCTTTTTAAAGCCTAATTGAACATTCTTTATTTATTACTATAACACACCCAGTAATAAATATGGGTCTTTGTTAGTTTTTTTAACATGGCCATGTAAGGTGTTTAATTGTTATACCGGTAACAGTGAAAATCTACTACCTATTACAAAATAAAGTAAAACATTTTTATATAAAAACATTTTATGATAAACAATAATATACTGTACATCAGTACTTTTTGCTCTATGTTATATAGAATAAAGTACATGTATAGCCATTAGGGATGTTCAGATACCAAGTACCGTACTTGGTACAAGTACAAGTACAGATACTTTTCCAGACTAGACTAGAGAAAAACTCAAAAGTTAGGCAGCAGCTGTCATTTTTATAGATCATATGGAGCTCCTGGGATAATTTAAAAACTATAGGTATATTAGGGATGCACCGATACCATTTTTTTCAAGTACAAGTACTGATACTTGTCCAAGTACTCACAGATACAAGCACTGATACATTTTTGTTTATTGTCATGTGGCAGTTTTTCTAGAACAATACAGACTAATGATTTCAGGACAGTGGTAGACTGCGAGAGCCAGGTCCCAGCTGCAATCGCTGCAACCCTGGTAGTTCTCGCGAAAATACAAAGTATTGGCACTGGTATCTGAACTCGTACCTGAACAACCCTAATAGCCACATTTAGCCACTTTTTGGGCATAGAGCAGAGAAGGACTATAACCCTGCTGTCTGTGTTTTCCATCACTTCCTGTCCCAGGAAAAATATCTATAAAGTGTCCCCATTGGAAGATTTACCTGGTGACAACTCTAAAATGTTGGGCTTTCCATTACTCATTATATTGGTGGCATTATATTTACTCATTATATTGGTGGCAGTTACAGCCAGGACAAAATAGAAAGGGTCACTCTACCTAGCTGGGACAGTTGTCAATGGAACAGATGTCCCCATTGGAAAATTTACCTTCACTTCTTGTTCTGGTGACAACTCTAAAATGTTGGGCTTCCCATCACTTATATTGGTGACAACTGCGACCAGGACTAATAGAGAGGGTCATTTTACCTAGCTGGGATGCACACAACAACAAAACTTGACTTGATCACTACTTTATACATACATTTTAACACCGTATTTTACAGTTTTGGAGAAACAAATCACATTTATGTATGCATCTACAGTGCATTAAAAAGGCATTTTTTAAAGCCAATAGAAAGATAAGACAAGAAATCCCTTAACACATTGTAAAAACATTTTAAAAATATTCTGATGTTAAATGTGGATTTAGAAGGCACCTTAATAACTGAAAGCTGCTGATCTAAATTCTGAGATTACATCAATAATTCAAAGCTTCAGTGTAGTAAACTATAACATTTGAGGGCCTGCAATAAAACGACATAAAATTATATCTGTAGTTTCCCTGGAACGTGTTAAACTTGAGTCCTTTCTATTACTACGATAACCACTGGCTGAGCCTTTAGCTTCTATTCAGAGTGAAAAGGCTTCTGTCTGTGCTTATCCATCTGTAACTCACATACATATATTATTAAAAAGACCTGAACAATACTAACTGGACACTGACAAAGCAAATCACAAGACCCTGATCAGGAAAGCCACTGAAAATACATAAGGCTCATTTCACAAAGCTAAAACACCAAGATAAGGATCCTTATTTTTTTTAAAGTGACAGTTAATTCAATAAGATTTAAAATTTATAGTCACATAGTTAAAGAAAAAAATTGTACCCACACTTCCAATTGTCTTTCTGTTTTAATATCTTACCTACTGTTTATATGGATGTGAAGACAAGAACCTTTCTGTTTTTATGAAAGAATGCATACTGGAAACGTTGCAAAGCATTTCTTATACACTACTGTTTTTACATGATGGAAATAATCCTAAAAAGCTATAATAACTTACATTTTTTTAATGTTACAGGTTGTAGAGTTACAGTTGGAAATTCTAAAACAAAACAAAATATATCAAAGTCTTTTTGAATATGAAAGTCTGCATTGTTTGCAGTAAATACGATGATTTATTGCTATTCTTTTCAAATGTATGAATGTAAAAATGTAAATTTTATTGATCACACACCGTTTATGTTGCTTGCAGTTCACGTGTATGTCACAAATAAGAAAATGTCATGGAAAAATGTGTTTGTAAACAGTCAATAACAGAAAAACACAACCTTGAACTCCCCGATCTAACAGTTTCCTATCCAGAACACTCACCTCTACCACAAGTCTTGTTAAGGGTGATGTAGCCACCCACGGCGGCTAAGCAAAGGGACTGCATCTTAAAAAGCATAACATGGCATCTTCAATGTGCTCTGCTTTCCCACTGGGATGCCTACTTCCCCCAGACAGCTCATTAAAATCTTTACAATTTCCACTTTGTTACTAAAACTCCCCCCCCCCCCCCCCCCCCC